CTGTACATGTACGGAGCAGTTTGTTGAACCCAATCTTTCATTCTCCTCCAGGAACTCTCCTTATGAGCATGTCTGGGCCCCAGCCCTTCAGGAGGGGCCTTCTAAAAGCGAGCACAGCTCCTCTAATTGGGCTGGCCTCTTCTGCTGGCAAGGCATCATGAAGGGCTGTGCTTTCCCCACCTGAGTCTGAGAAATTCTTCTGTTCCAAGTCCCCTCCAGCCAGCTGTACATTTTGGTTATTCCCAAAGACTGCCTGCCCACCTGGGGAGTCTGGCCTTGAGATGAACACCTCCACTTTTCTCATCTTAGTGTGTCTCCACAAGGCCCACATTTTCCTGCTCTTCACCCTCTTCTTCTAAAGTCCAGCCAGCAGTCCTTGAGAATAAGCTCCCAATGTGGCCATCTATCGGACTCCCAACAATTAGAACCTGGGGTCATCCCATCAAGCTGGTGCACAATTCAGGATAGCTAAAAGGACTTCTTCAGGCAGTATATTTTTAAACGAGGATTTATTTCCACAAAATGTAGTGATGGCCACTGACTTAATTGGCTTTCAGAACAGTTTGGACAAATCCATGCAGACTGAGCCTGTTAGCGGTTACTGGCCTGATGTTGTATGCAATATCAGAGGAAGCAAGTCTGTGTGTGTCAGTTTGGGGGGACCAGCAGAACCACTGCACCGGTTCTTACATGTGGCTCTCCCAAGGTAGCCGATTGGCCCCTGTCTAAACAGAATGCTGGACTAAATGTATCCACTCTGACTTGTTGTATAATATGTTCTTATAATATTGTGTGTCCTTTGATAGCAGGTCAATCCCCCATTTTTTCCCCTCTAACATTACAGGTGGCCATATTTACCTTTTTTTTGTCCTGGATATCTGAATATCTGAACTAGCTGTACATTTTTAATACATCTGGGATTGTCTACCAAGTGAGGTTTCCTTCATTTGGTAGTCTGCATGAAGGAACATGTTTAAAGATGTTTGATAGTCATGGAAGATGTTATTTGTCTGAACCATAGATAGAGGCAGTTGGCAAATGCTGTCCAAGCTGTTTCTCCTTAAAGTCCAGCTAGTCTTCCTTTTCCTCAGTGATGTTTGTTTTTACCATTCCAAGTTCTTTTAATATTTGAAATTGCTTCAGTATTTTCAGTTTTTGTGAGTCGGGTTTGCAGAGAAGATTTTGGATGTGTGCATATATTTCTGTATGAGGGTTTTAAAGAGACTACACTCTGAAGAAAAATGTTAAAATAAATTATAAATCTCCAGGGCAGATTTTCAGGCAGCTCAGAGGGTTGCAGGAGGTTAAGAAAGAGAAAGTCCCGATGTGGGGTTGAGAAATAGCAGAACGTTAAAGTAATATTTTTATTTCACTTTTCTGGCAAGTTCAGGGCTGATTACAGTTAGAAAATACAATTTATAAATCAATGGATGGGACTGGATTGGATTGGGAGTAGGACTCTAGGCTATCACAGGATTGTTGTGAGGATACAATGGAAAGGAAGATTCCTTGGATCCTTTGGAGTTAATAAGGCAGGCTGTAACCCTACAACAGCATAGAAGCAGCAGGTGAAAACAATATTGAATACAGTATTGACCACCAAAAGGTTGATGGAAACGATAGGATGTATAGCTATTCTAAAAAAATAAGGCATTTGGAGTAGAGCTTAGCTGTTGTCGGCACCTCCCTAATACCTTGTTCCAGTGCTAAACTACTTTTGGTTAGGAAGCTCTCTCAGATTTGAAATTGGGTCATTCAGTCAACTGTAAACTTCACTCATCAAAAGTTATTAGGTCACAAATGTTTACTAGTGTGCTGGTGCCACACAACTGTGTTATAGCCCAATTATGTGTAGATTTGCTCAGAGGTCTTACTGTGCTCATGTGGTTTACTGCCACATAAGTGTGTGGCATCAAAAAGGAAACTGACCAGCTTTTTGGTTTTAAGCAAGCCAACTTTTGTAAATGTTTCTTTCCACTGGTTTCCTCTTTTTTCCATGAGGTCCTTTAAAATGTTTGTGTTGTGTATCTTTTTTTAACCTTGGCTAAACAAACTCAGGTCCCTAAATCTGTCATTGTACAATTTGCACCTTGCTGCCATCTTCTTAAACTGGGTGCCTGGAGAGGATTTGACACTGTTGGTACCTCTGGTAATACAATATAAAATGGGACAGGTCCTCTGGCCCCTAGCATTGCATTGTTGACATTGTTCATATTATTATTGCTGTCATTATTTCTATACTGTCCCACAACTGAAGCTCTTTTGGCTTCTGCATTGCTTCTGTGCCGTTTTCAGATATGTTGCCATGATTATTCATTTAATTCATGCATGGACATGTGCATCTAGTTTGGCTTTTCTATTGTAATGCTTTACAATCTGCCTTGGGTTCCTCATAGGAGGAGAAGAGGCTGGCTCTAAAGCAGTGTAATAATATAATACTGACATTGTTGAAATTCATTTTGTTCCTAGTTTCCTGGTTCTTGGAGATGAGCTTGAATTTTCAGTGTGTTTTGCTTGCAGTTCCTCACAGCGTTCCTTGGTTTGCGGTTTATACTCTCCACTCTTGTTGTTGTTAGTCGCAAAGTCGTGTCCGACCTATCGCTACCCCATGGACAACATTCCTCCGTGCCTTCTTGTCCTCCACCATCCACTCTTACATCCAAGCAATTGATAATTGTAACAGAAGTGATTAGGTTCTTACTGTCTTTGGGATAACATCTAGAAAAGTTGCCATATAACGCGGTTGCAGCAAACCGCAGAAATATTTCCTAATATTTTAACAGTTAATTGGTTTTATTTTTGATTTTATCATTATTTATCGGATACAGTGTGTCATTTGTTGTATGTGGTTCTTTTGTGTTTTGTTTTTTGTAAACTGTCCAGAGACTTTAGTATTGAACAGCATATAAAAACTTTAAATAAATAAATAACTCAGGACAGTGTATTTATGATGATATATACTTCCATTGACTGAAATCCACTTCATCCAGTGCAGGCCATGCTATCCTGTAGATGTACATACAGAAGAGAAGAGAAAAAAGTAAATAGTGTGTCCCAACAGCCCTGACAAGGCAAAGCAGTGTGTGACAATCCTGTGTAAAACTTAATTTTATAAAACAGCTGCTCCCAAGCTGGTGCCCTCCAGATGTTTTGGACCAATTCCATCAACTCTACCCAGTGGTCAGGTACACTGCCAGAAGCTTGGGAAAGACAGACATGGAAAGTAATTAAAAGCAAGAAAGGGTCTTGCGGCATTTTAAAGGCTAACAAATTTAGTCTGACATAAACTTCCATGAACAATTGCCCAGTCTAGAATAAAGGTGATAATATTTATGGTGCCACAGGACTCTATTTTGTTGGAGAGGGGTTGTTTTTTTGTTTTGGTGATAGATGTAATTGGGCTGCCCCTCCAGAAATAATTTAGTGATAAAATGCAGTGATAATTCACAACAATGGTGATAACACTCAATTTTATCTCTGTTAATTAACACCTGTAGAAAGACAAGAAACCCATTGTCTGAATACAAACACAGTGTCTGAAACAAATACAATCAAAGCTCTGGATATGTTCTAGCTCTTGTGGCCATTTGATCCCCACATTTAGGACCCCCCCCCCTTTCTGTACCCATGTTTGTATAAAATATACACAGCTTTACCTTCCAGCTGAGGTTAATACTTCAAGCATCTGCTGGAATGAGTGTAGTCTGTGAAAGCTTATGCAGTAAGCTTCTCTGGCAACTTTTATATGTCCCTTTTCAAGCCAGTTATTTGCCTATTCAACAACAGTATTTCCTTCAGCTTAGGAGTTAGGATTGTTCATGTGCACACCTGCCAGAAAAGAATGTGTGTATGTATCCCCAGCCCATGGCAGGAGTGCTTTTGCTGATCCCCTGGAACAGAAGCCTCGCAATGCTGTTTGGGGCTGGGGAAAAAACACCTTTCTCACACTCTTGCAACCATGCAGAACTTGGGATTGGTGCTGACTGTCAGCTCTGAGTGAGCACTTTATGGCTGCATACCAGGTGTGGGCAACACACAGGCTGCTGCACCCTGAGATTAAAACCACACTCCAAAATGATGCTCTGTTGCAGCTGTGCAGCATTAAAAAGATAAATTTAGTTAGCTGAGTGCCTATGTAGTGCTAAAGGGCTCAGATCAAGGTTGAAAAACTGCTGGAATACGGCAGAGTGGCTTGCCACTAAATTTTGGCAGCCAACTGCAGTTTAAAAAAGAATGTTTTTAACATCTACTCCCCCACCCCACAGCAAGCTGTGGTTTGAAACTGGTCCCCAGACTAACCACAATGACCTACCCCACCTCATAGAATGGGGAGGAAAGGTTTTTTTTTTTAAAAAAAAACCTAATAGTGTTAACCTCAAGCTCTGTCCTAATGATAATCTTTGGCATACTGTAAGCTGCAGGACAGGATGGGTTCAGGCCATACCTGTAATTCTGTCCTGCCTCACCCCCAGAAACTTGCAATTTAGGCTTCTGCCTTGTGAGAGATGTTTGGGTGTTTTAGATTCCTCTTTCTCCCATGGGACATATGTGAGAGTTGCCTATAGGAACCTGTAAAGAAAGTCAAGATGTTAGCAAAGCTAGATTTGGGCAACATCTTCAAAGGTATAAATGGCTACCTTTGTCATTCAGCCTCGGCCTTGAATTTCCCTTTTCAGACAGTGAGATAGTTTTCATGTTTCAGTGTTCAGTGGGTTACTGAAATTTAGATGACTCTTTTAAGGAACAATCCACTGCTTTTTTCTTTTAATTGATAAATTTAGATATTACCTTGAAAGAGTGCTCTGAATATGTAGAAGCTGCTCCCTGCCATTTGGATTGTCATACTTTGCGGCTTTATGATCAGCACGGAATCAGCCAAATGTTCTGTTACTGAATGTGAAAAGTGCAGCTAAGTCAGAGGGTGCATTCTTCTCCTCCAGCTATGTTTGCTGGGTGGACTAAGAGAAGAGCAAAAGCACTTTGCACCACTGGAATGTGTGATCCCAAGCGCTCCTCAAGGCTACTGGACCAAAGGAAGTTCCGATGAGTTGAAGCTCTTATGCAGGTGGAACAAAATTGGTGCAAAGTGAGTGAGAGCTGGGTAAGGTAGCAGGGAGACGATTAAGTTATGGCTGCTGGCAGATTCCCCAAGAGAGAGCTTTTCTTTTTCAAAGGTCATTTCAACATCTTCTGGATGTGAGAATTGAACCCACACCACCTCTTTTCCAGTGAGCTACCTACCACTCGGGTCACAGTGTCATCTCCTGGCCTAGCTTAGTTTTCTAGTGCCTGTTGGTCTTCATCCAGCTGCCTGCCAACCCTCACCTCCAGAAAATGTGGGGTAAAGTGAGACTGCACGTGCTTCCTGGTGGTGGGCCTTGTTGTGGGCGTGGTTCTGGAAGAGGTTTTGTGCCATTAGTGTGGCAGTGCTACGCGAATGATTGGTGCTTTCCATTCATGGTCAGTGTGTGGGCATTGGAAGAGTGTTGCAACTGATGGATTGTTGTGTTGTCTGGGACATTGACTCAGAAGTGACTCCCATCCCTCCTCAGCCAGACAACCAAATATTCAAAGGTAAACATGGTGTTGCAGTTTTTGAAGCTGTAAGCAGAGCTCTGACGTCAGTACTTTGAAATGAGGTCTTCTAAGCTGTTAGCTTAGCTGCCGAGGTATTGATTGATGGTGGATTGACTGATTGATTGATTGTGAATGCCAAAACTGTTTGAGAGTTTAACAGAATTGGTGTCCAGGCATAGGGATGGTTGCTGCTGGCAAGGAGAGGGTGATTGCAGCTGTGGAGGGAGCTGCCGGCTTCATATCAAATGACCTAACTTGGCCATTGTGGTGCCAAGAAACTTAAGAGAGCACCTCCCCTGGGAGTTGGCTGAGTTATACATCATCAGCTGGTTCAATTCTATCCCTGAAGATCTGAATCAGGAGAAAAGATGTTTTATCATGCTACATGTGCTAATTGGGTTACCTCTGCCAGAATGTTTTCCGTTATCTCCTGCAGCAACTGTATGGTGAGTGACCATCTTAACAATGTGATGATCACTGCCAGTACTTTCTGCATTTAATCTTTCTGACCTCACTGTTTGTAATCCTTCCACTCACATCTGCAAGTAAGAATCCATTTGAATGACCAAGTAGGGAAGTGTTGATTAAGTGGAAGAGTGCCAGCTCTTCTGCGGGTTCCCCCCCCCCCTGCCCCAGGTCATCAGTATGTCTAAAATTGCTAGCATAGAGCTGAGAGGGCAGTTGGGCTAGTGATGATTTTGAGATGGGGCTGAGCTAGTATTGGCAACAGGGGTGAAATGCAAATAAAGCTGGTGAAGTTGTTTCCGACATTGGGTTACCAGATTCCTCCAGGGCCTGATGCAGCAGAGCCTACCATGACTGAAAGTGAAACCAACTCGCTCTCATAAGCCCTAAGCCCTCTTCATCATTTGGGAATGACCAGTTAAGGGTTCCAGTGGAGTTTCTTGCATTGGGCTTCATTGCAGCCCTCCTGGGTCCTCATGAGATCACAGCTTAGGTTTTGCTTTGTCTGTTGAATGCAACCTGGTTGTTAAATCAGAGTTAGCATGGGCAGTAACACTGCGTGCCCCCTGGTGAGCAAAAAGTACTGAATGGGGAAGTCTAGTTGGTTTCAAAGCATGAAGCAATAAGCAGTTTGAAGTGGTAGTTCAGTGACATATGACAAATAAAACAGAAAAGCACAGTTTAGCTATTCAGAACCCTGCATCATGCTGCCTACCTGGTTCTTTGAAGACCTGTGGTTTCTGTGACACTGTTTCTTCAGTGCCCTGCTTCTCTTTCTGTGAGACCTATATTCTAGCATCTGTACTGAAGAAAGCATCCCCACCAGCTTCCTCTTATTATTATTATGTTTATTATTTTTTAAAACTTTTTAGACCATAGTCTCTGGACAGTTTAACAATAAGAAAATAGAATAAAAGTAAGCATCCTAGTCAAATTCTTAATCAACAATAAAACCCATATTAAAAACAGTCGAACCTTAAAACATTGGGAAAATAAACAGATTTTAGCCTGGCATCAAAATGAAAAGAATCAAGTGACGGCACCAGGCAAACCTCTAGTGGAAAAGTGGAAGTTTTCTAGTGGAAAAGGGTCTTTAGGATTCACTTACTTGGACTTCCTGGGTGGAAATTCCCCCGAGGAATTAGCATAGCTGACACTTTGTTGTTGTTAGTCCTGCCCGACCCATGGACAACATTCCTCCAGGCCTTCCTGTCCTCTACACCTGGACTATTTACCAGTCAATGGGTTTGCTAATTGGAGGCACTTGACCTTGGGATGACCTCAGTCAAGTATTTGCATTGCAATGCCAGCATCCAGCAGGTAGCAGGTAGTGCCTCTTCAAAGAGCTACATTTGATTATAAAATGAAGCTTTCTTCCTCTTATACCTGAATAAAGTGGAGTTTTTGTATAGTCTAGTGAACCACTGCAGGCTGATCAGAAAAGACATTGAGTTAAGTCTTCGAAATCTCTGTATTTCAGGTTTAATGTTGTTATGTGCTGTCAAGTCATCTCTGACTTCCGGCAACCTTATGGATGAAAGCCCTCCAAATATCCTGTCCATGACAGTTCCATTCAGCTCTTCCAAGTTCAGGGCTGTGACTTTCTTTATGGATTTATCCCATCTCATATTTGGTCTTCCTGTTGGTCTTCCGCCTTCAACATTCCTTAACCTGACTGTCTTGTCCAGTTTCTTTTGTCTTTCCATGACGTGTCCAAAGTATGACAGCCTCAGTTTTGTCATTTTTGCTTCTAGGGAAAGCTCTAGCTTGAGTTGATCTAGAACCCTCTTGTTTGTCTTTCTCATGATCCAGGGTAACCATGAAGCTCTTCTCCAGCACCATGTTTCAAACACATCCATTTTCTTTCTGTCAGCTTTCTTTACTGTCCAGCTTTCACACCCATACAGTGTGATTGGTAATACAAAAGTCTGTCTGATCTTGATCTTGACCTTGGTCTCCAGTAAAGCATTCTTAGTCTTGATTATCTTTCCTAGTTCTTTCATTGCTGTTCTTCCAAGTCTGAGTCATCTTTGGATCTTGAGTGCAATTGAACCCTTTGAATTGATGACTGAGTCGACGTATGTAACTCTTCTACCATTACAATTTATTTACTACTAACTGTGAAGTTCTATAATTCTTCTGTGGATGTGGTTTTTGCTTTCTTGCAGTCCTGCTTTTGTACTTTATTCTTTCACTTTGATCAGGAATTGTTTCACATCATTCCTGCTTTCTGTCAAGTGGTATGATGTCATCTGCATATCTTAAATTGGTGATGTTTCTTCCATCAATGTTCATTCCTTCCTCTGATTCTAATCTACCTTTCTTATGATGTGTTTTGTGAACAAATTGAACAGATAGGGAGATAAAATGCATCTTTGTCTGACACTTTTGCCTATGGAAAACCATTCTTTTTCTCTAAATATTCTGTCCAAACTGTAGCTTCTTGTCCATCAGTATGGGTTTTGCATCAGGGCACACCCATTTCTTTCAGGACCATCCATAGCTTCTTGTCCATACAATCAAAGGCTTTGCTGTAAGACTGATGGTTTTCTGAAGTTCTTTGGTAGCCAATTTAGCCAATTTATAGCCAATTTATATTTGCAATATGATGTCTAGTGCCTCTTCCTTTTCAGAATCCAGCTTGACCATCTAGCATTTCTTGTTCCGTATAGAGTAGTATTCTTTGTTGTGACACTCTGAGCATCATCATCATCATCATCAATTACATTGTTAATGCGGAATTGTGGTAATACAATGGTCCTATGGTTGCTGCACTTTTTGCATTTCCTTTCTTGGGGATTGGAATAGGGTTAGGATTAGGGTTAGGATTGGAATAGTTCTATGGGTATCCTATCTACCCCATCAACTTTACTCTGCAGTTACTTTCAGAACAGCTTTCATGTCAGTTTCCAATATTGCAGACTCATTATAGGATTCCACTTTGAAGAGCTATCTAATTGTTTCTTCACTATAGCTTGTCTGTATATTCTTTCCACCCTCTCTTTATTTCTCCTGCTCGGATAGTATGTTCCCTTGTCTGTCTTTCAGCATTCCCACTCTAGGTTTAATTTCCCTTTGATTCCTTGGATCTTCTGGAAGAGGTCTCGTTTTTCCTCTTTTGCTGCTTTCTTCTATTTCTTTGCACTGAGCATCGTAATAGTTCCTTTTGTCTCTAGGTGATAGTCACTGAAAAGTTGCATTCTGGTTTCTGACCCTATTTTTTTACCTTTTGCTTTTGTGTCTTGCCTTTGCAACTCTGCGTGTTTCTTCCATCATCTGAGCAGGCATTTTCTTTCTTGTTGCTACAGACCTTGTCCTTTGGCATTCTTCCCTAATCATGTCTCTGGTTTCAGTCCACAGTTCTTCTGGCTTGTGGTCAATTGAGTTGAGCAACATAAATCTCTTTTTTATATAGACTTTAAATTTTTAAGGGATGTTACTTAAGTTATAATTTGGTACCATGTTTCTGTTGGTGATCTTTTTTAGCTTTACATTTTTGAAATTAAGAGCTGATAGTCACTACTGCCGTCTGTTCCTATTTTTACAGCAATAATGCAGCCTCCCCACCTTCTATTTCCAGTTACATAATTTATTTGATTTCTGTATTGGCCATCTGGTGAAGTCTGTGTATATAGTTGTCTGAGCAGTTGCTTGAAGTGTGTGTGTACAATGAACAGGTTGTTGGCTTCAAAACATGCTATGAGTCATTGTCTTGCCTCATTTCTGACCCCTGGGCCAAATTTTCCTACAACATTTGATTCTATTTTGTTTCCTGCTTTTGCATTCCAGTCATCTAGGATTAGCAGCATGTCTTATTTTGGTGTGTTGTCAGTTTCCTCTTGAACACCTGCATAAAAGTGTTGATTTCTCTTTCTTTGGAATCATCTGTTGGAGCTTGGACTTGAATGATGGTTATGTTGATAGGTTTTCCACTAATTTTGACTAATATTGTTCAGCCAGATTTTCCATTATATCCTCTTACTGCCTGTATTGTGTCTTGCCTCAGTATTTAGAGCTGCTCCAGTCACTTGCAGAGTAAAATGCTTTGTGGAAATGCCCCATTCCAGTCCACTTTAATTCACTCACACCGAGCACTGTGAAGTTAATTCTTTCAATTTCTTGCTTTAGGATTTCCAGAGGGTCTTGATTCATACTTCTCACTTTCCATGTCTCAATTCTATGTGTTGTGCAGCATTGGAGTTTCCTTTCACCTCTGCATGCAGCCCCTAGTTTGAGCATCATTATCATCATCTGCAGATCTTTCACCAGCACCTTCCACCACTGCTGTCAGTAGCTGCCTTTCAGATATTTCTCTGCCCCCACCATTAATTATATCCATCTCCTTTTTGCTGATGTGACCATTAGTCCTGAAGAGGGTGAATGCCCTCAATCTGGTATCTCAGCCTTGATCAGTCTGCCTTGGGCAACCCTGCTAGGAGGCCAGCCTAGTGAGATTATTCCAGCCCCCTGGCTGCATTGCCTCTCGGCTTCTTTGGCACTTTCAAACCCCCTCAGAGCATTAAGGTGTGTATCCAAGAGGGAGTATGTCAGGTTATGGTATGTTTATTATAGTTGCATCCCATGTAACCTCAGCATGTGGCTGAAGCATTGTAATAGAACAGGGAAGATCCAGGTTCAAATGTGTCTTCAGGCATGACGCTCACTGGATGGCCTTTGGCCAGTCACACTCCCTCAGACTGATCTTCCTCACAGGACAACAGGGATGGGCAGAGGACAGGTTCATAGAGTCAAAAGTGGGGGAAATGACACCACTGCTACATCTTGCTGTGCTACTTACTGTTTTCCACTGAAGCATGGCTGCTACAGCTGAAGAGTTGAGTAAAAGGGAAGCAGGGCTATGTAGAGCCCCCCTTTTTTGAGACCTCTGGCTACAGTTAATAATTATAATAATTACTATTACATTTCTATACTGCCCTTTAGTCCATTGGGCTTTCTGGGTGGCGTACAAATTCAATTACAAAACAATACAGTAAAAAATTTTAATTTATTGTTGTAAGCCGCCCCGAGGCTTCGGCGAATGGGGCGGCTTAAAAATGTTTTAATAAATTAATAAAAAATAAATAAAAATACATAGCACAGCAATATAAAGTAAAAACATATGAAGTTTTCTACAATAACCTTAGCAGAAAGCCCAGTACTCAAGCCAACACTGAACTGGCATTGGCTGGCTATGAAGGCATGGGCGGTGTGGTCCTACCTCATCTCCGCCTCCACTCCGCAGACGCAGGTGTGGTCAGTGTTCTTGATCCTCTCCATGGTGGTGAAGCTCCGTGAACCACTGAACCACTCAGTGTCGGAGGGCCCACAGGGACAGGTGGTGGGGGTGGCAGAAGCTGGGTGGCGCAGTGGTGAGTGCAGCACCATGGTTGTCGGCAACAGCAAGTGGGTGCAGGTGTTATACCCCAACTCGCCCGATATAGGAAGTCAGGTAAAATAAATCTCGATGCACTTACAGTTTTTGGAAAACCTTTTTCACAATGCTCTGATTGCATCCTTGCGCCCATCCTCAGCAGTGTTGATAAGGTCACAGCTGTGCATGCATTGATCCCACTCTTCTGTCCACAGTGTTCCAAAAGTAGCCTTTTCGATGAGACGTCCACAGCCATCCCAAAGGGATCCTTCTGGCCCTTTCCAAAAGCCATGCTCGGCCCAAAGTCTCCGCATGGCCAGACCTCTCCAGTATCAATCCTCCAGCTTGAAGTTTGTCAAACCAAACTTTTGGTAAGCATGTCCTGTGAAGATGTCTAGGAGTTAACATGTTTGGGCTGAAAAAAATATGTAAGTGCAACTCCATAATGGCATTTTTAATAACTTGGCAGCTATTTATTTGTTTGTTTAGTAACTGACTTTGGGAATGCCATTCACAAGCCTTCCATGGTAGGAATTTGTTTGGAGCTACAGTGTGTCTGTTTTGTGTTTAGTTTAAGATTAGGCAGAGAGCCGCTTAATGGGAAAGAGTGACAGGAGACAATCCCCAGCCTCCCACTTAAAGGGAGATAAAAGATTGCTGAAGGCAGAGCTCAGTAGCACATAGCACATGCTTTGCCTGTATGAGGGCCCAGACTGAAGTCCCACCGTTTCCAATTATTCTATGGATTCTGAGGCTGGGAAGGGCTGACTAGGCAGTTCTCAAGCTAGTTGGATCAATTTCATGTTACGGGTTATTTTTAAACCTTATAATTGTCAGAAACATTAGCAACAATTAAAATAAGAACAGAAATAAAAGTTAAAGCTACAGGGATAACATTGAAAAGTCCTGGTTGAAATGAACAAGCCTAAATTGTCTCCTAAAAGCAGGCAATAATTCCCTTTGTCATATTCTGGAGATCTTCTCGTTATGAGGCAGTGTCACGTGTACATTGATGGCATGTTTGAGTTGAGCTGGTTCAGTTCGGGTCTAAGCAGACAGAAAACTTTCTTCTGTGATTGCTGCAGCCAGTAGAAACTGCTTTTCCTCCTGAAGAAAAGCAAAGTGACCCACTAGTCAGTAATGTGGGTTTTCCAGAAAAAGAACTGGTTTCAGGAAAATTTCCCAATGCTCTAAATAATGTAACCTGATTTAGCTTATATGATTTACTCCTTTTGACTCCCCAGCTCACATTCTCCCTTAGTAAGTGCACAAAACATCTCATATTTAGTAAACTGAAACTGTAATCCATGCCAATTTTATCTGCTGTATAAAGATATCAAAGGTGTTTCCAGTAGCTACATAATATTTGAACTGAAATTCTTGCTGAGAGGAAAATTAAATTAACCACATAATACAGTGGAAATGTTGTATTCAAACACATTTGAAGTTTGATGTGGAAATTATTTTATTAGAACATTTGTTAAAACAAAAAGTAAAGGCAATACTGTATCCTTCCTTATAAGATTTCTTTACATTTCATAAAAATTAATGAATCTGGAAGAACACCCTGCTATTTGGATATGCAGTGGTACCTCGGCTCACGAACGCCTCAGTTCATGACCAAATCGGGTTGCGAACAAAAATTTCATAAAAAATTTGACTCAGGTCCCAAACACCTCATTGAGTGGCAACTGTGATAGCGGCCATCTCCTCACCCCCCACCCCTGAGTGGGGAGATGGCCACAATCGCAGTTGCACTCATGCCGGGAAGACAGGCACGATCGCGGTTATGCTTGGGGTGGGGTGGTGGGAGATAGCTGTGATCATGCTGTGGGGGAAAGCTGTGATCATGCTGTGGGGGAAGATGGCCAAGATTGCGCCTATCTTTCCTGCACGAGCACACCCTTGATCGCGCCTGTCTTTCTGCAAGAGTGTAACGGCAATCTTGGCCATCTCCCCCCACCACACGATTGTGCCTGTCTCCCCCCCCCCCCGGTGCACCCATACTCATGCTGGGGGAGGGAGATGGCCGTGCTTGTGCTCGGGGGGGGGGGGGGATGGCCAAGATCTTTGTTGTTCTTTGTCACTTTGCTTCACATTTTGCTGATTAAAAAAAATAGTTACAGAATGGATTAACCTTATTTACATTGAACCTTATGGGGAAATTTGACTTTGCTCACTACCAAATTGGGTCATGACCAGAGGAATGGATTAAGTTCGTGACCCAAGGTACCACTGTATAGTCAAAGAGGGCTAATCTATCTTTTAGTAACAGTTTGATTTTCTTTTACACTGTCAGCTTCACTTACTGTACTGCTTATCAGTTCCATTTCAAGTGGGGAAAAAAACTGACATGGAACAAGGAGCTGAACAGGGTCTTTAACTAAAGGATGCATGTGGGCCTGTGGGCAGAGGCTGGGGAACATGGGCAGGAAGGTACTGTTGCATTAAGGGCCTGCTCATGGGATCCCAGGAGCAACTGGTTGCCCACTCGGTGAACACAGTTCTGGACTGGATAAATCCTGGGTCTGATCCAGCAGGGCTCTCCTTAAAGGTCACAGTTTTCATAGCTTCCATATTCCCTCAGTTTGTTATTGGAAGGTAGCAATTGGGTGCAAATATATCACTTATAGGTCCGGTCCAGTACCAGCCAAGAGCAGAAAGTATCGTGCACAGGAATGGGTTGTCATACCTCATTTTTCAGTTCCCTCATAGGCAACTGAGCATCAGCGTTTGTCAATGCGTACCTTAGAAAAATAACTTACAGGAAATCATATCCTTTATTTAACGTGATTGATTTCAGCACAACAGTGCAAACAATGGATGAACACAGACATATATGGTGTGCAAAAAATTCTCATAGAAAAATATAGCACTGGAAAATGTTCCGGAATATCTTCCAAATGCTATATTTGTCTGCCCACCGAGTGGGAGATTGGTGGAACTGACCAGTGAGATAATTATAGAAAAATGTTTTGTAAATAAAAATATACAAACTGTACAATGAATTGAGATAAACAATACAAAAATAAATAGTAGTCCATATGCAAAAGGAAGCATTATAACTCAGTAGCAGCAGCAGCAGCAGCAGCAAACTAAAACTAGATAACTACCCTCAGCAAAGCAATCTCAAGCAGCATGTTTGTGTAAACAAGCAAAAGTGTAACGGGTGCATCAGTTTTCAACTCCAAAGAAGTTACCAAAATGCATATAAAATACATAGAGGAATGCATATTTAACTATGAATTTTGGTGGACTGCAAACTAAATACAAACTTCAGAGATCAGTGTAGAAATGAGAAGGAATGAATATATGAATGGACACAGACAAAACTGAAACACATCAGTAATAAACTGATAAATTTATTTCAAGTTAAAAAGCAGATTAATGGGCATGAAGAAGGCTTTGCTTAAAGTCACCTGGAAAAGACAGTAATACACAAGGAAGGGTATACATTCATACAGGCAGGCATGGATTTTCCATGTGAGGTCCCAACATTATTTTGGAGTTACCCTAGTAACCAGTGGAGTGACCCTAGTAACCAATTCATTATAGAAGTGGTTTAATCATGTTTTAGGTAGTGAAACAAATGTTAGTGCATGAATTAGCCTTACAAATATGTCTGCACCGGGTATCAGCCCCGTTTAAGCGCAACCTAGTTTGGGTATTGGTCACTCTACCAAGAAGAACATTATGCTTTTTTAGGTGCCTTGCCTGGAGGCTCTAATGTCTCTGAGCATCTTTTCATAACTGCAGCAGTGATGGTTGGGCAGCTTACTCGATTCATTGCAGCTATAACACAGTGCAATATCAGTATCTGCATTGTAAAGAACCAACTTTGGGAACATGTGCTTTCCCTCTCCATCTCAGGCACAAATTGTACCCATTCCTTGGCCATCCTTACTTGTGATTTTGTGTTATGTCTGCACCACTGATGATAAAAGTATTTGGATCATTAACACAAATATTATTTGTTTTGGAGGTGCAAGATGTAGCTTGAACATATAAACATGTGAATGATGAAGGTAGAAAACCAACAGATTAGCATATATGTGTTATATAATAATACTGTTTGTTTATCCATATATATATATATATATATATATATATATATATATATATATGGATGGTTTTTAAGGCATCTTAATGAATGATTAGTTTTTCTAGAGGTGAAAATTTGAATCCCTGGAGCTAGGTATTGGTAATAAAATATCAGTGACTTATAAAAACTTTATTAAAATCTGTGTTGTGTAACCAGTGAATGATAATGGAATGAAATAAACGCTTTCTCTCATTATTACATATACCCTATTTTGTGGTATTTCTTTTAACTTGTCAGTTATGTTTTATGCAGTGGTTATCTTATTAATTACAATCAGTGGCCTTTAAAGGACTTGGACTCAATTACCAGTTGATTGTTGCTATGTATGCTTTCATGTTTGTGGGACATTACTGGCTAGCTGTTGGGAAAATGCATTTAGAATTTTTGCAACTATTTGAATGCCAAATCCTGTTGTGGCTGCTCTGGTATGCACTCCTTATGGAAATATTATAGGGTGTTGCACAAAGACCGTTCTTTGCAAGTTCTTGTTTCTTCCACATTCCTATTCCAAAGGGATCTCTTCTCTCCAAACCCTACGAATAGGAGGGATTTTGATTTAAAACAAAAGAGAACAAAACCAAAAACCAAAAACAAACCCAAATAGGTTTGATTGTCTGAGCTCTAGGTGGCATTAGATCCCTTCAGTTTGACTATATACATTGCCAGTTGACTGCTGCACCGGCAGTGCAGGTTGTCAAAATTCCTGAGACAATATGTTAACTTCTCTTTTGCACTTGCATATAACTTGAAATTTGAGTTGGCTCTGGGTGAACACAGGGGAAACAACACCTGGCTTGAAATATCACATCAGAAGCAAAAGAATGTGTTTAATGGTTTACAGAGTGATGTTTTCAAACTGCATAATTGCAAATAATACTTCAGCAAAGATTATATCGTTGTGAAATTCCTCCACAGGTATATTTGAAGTAATAAACCTGTGTAACAGAACACTTCATTCTACAAATAATTAATCTAAAACCATTTCATTCTACCAGTGTTTTAGATGCTGTCGAGAGAAGGACTAGATTAAAAAGGACCATAAATATTAATAAAATAGAGCAGAATTAAGGAAACATAAAAACTGCCCATGAATGTTTGCCTTTTGCTATACTAAACTGTTTGTTATGTCACTGTATACAATCAGTGACAAATAGCATACGTTTCACATTCATTTTCAAAGAACTTCAGAAATATTACCATAATATTTTTTACAATAGACGTGTAAAATGCCTCTTCATTATTCTCCCCATATTGCAGATAGAGGGATGC